AGCCCAGGCAGATGGGTGTGGAGAGAGAGGCAGCAGGGTGAGCCCGCAAGCTGGGAGGAGGATCAGGTTGGTGGAGACCAGGCAGCAGGCGGTGGAGACCAAGACTTGCATTTTGAAGGTTTGAGTTTGAGATGTTCTGGTAGAGAGGTAGAAGTAGAGGTAAGGAGGTGGTAGAGTGGTGACTAAGAAGGCCGATAACCATAGGAGGCAGAGGTTAGGGTTGATGTGTCCTTGGGGGTAAAAATAGTATGTAAAGCCCTGGAACCGATGAGCTCATGTATAGAGTGCGCACGTGGAGAAGACCCAGGTAGAGCTGCACAGAGAAGGAGCAGCAGGCGAGGGAGGAGAACCAGGAGCAGGAGGGTATGATGGATCGATGGGCCAGGTCTTTCACCAGATGCCGCAAACCGGTCATCAAGATGAGGGTTTCCCGAAAACACGGAGAGCATGCCCATGGCCTTGATGGGGGTGATGGTTTCACAGGGGTGTATTTATCCCCAAACCCACAGAGTTGTATACATCAAATGTGTAGCTCAATAAAATATTTTTTTAAAACCACAAAAGGATGGGGAATAATAAAACAAAAGTGAAATGAACACAGTACTGGCTGGGGTGCATGCTATAAGGTGTGGCTGGGTGCATTCGTGCTGCCAGCATTTATGGAGGGCTACGGGGTCACAGCTGCTGAGTGTGCAGAACCCCCCATTAGTGTGTGTTCGGGACACAACACACTCATCGTGGGGAATGGTGCGCAGACGTAGTGCGTCCTGGTCCTCTTTGCTTCCCTCTCTCCTCCTGTCCTTTCCATCTCCATCCACCCACAGATCCCCTTCCGATCACCACAAAGTCCACCTTTCTGTGTCCTATCATCTACCTTTTGTCCTTTAAATCATTTATACTTCAGGTTTCTCATATAAGATAAACCATGTGCTATTTATCTCTCTGTGTCTGATGTATTTCAGTTAGCCTTATGATCTCAAAGTTCACCTGTTTTTTTTTACAAATCACTCAAATATATCCTTCTTTATAGCTGAGTAGTACTCCATTGTGTATATTTAAGACATTTTCTTTATCCATTCATCTATTGTTAGATTTATAGGCCACTTCTAAGCTATTATGAAATGTGCTTCTGTAATCATGGGTATGTGTGTGTCACCATTCTATGAGGTCTTAACTCTTCCAGGAAGATCGAAGAGGTATAGCTGGGTCAAATAGAATTTCTATTTTCATATTTTTGAGGAATCTCCATACTGATTTCCATAGTGGTTTTGTTAATTTACATTTCCTCCTACAATGTAGAAGGGTTCCTTTTTCCCCAATTTCACCAGCATTTGTTGTTGTTGTTGTTGTTGTTTTTCTGTTCTTGATGATAACTTTTCTTTCTGGAGTAAGATGGACTCTCAGTATTATTTTGTTTGTTTGTTTCTTTTCTTTTCTTACATACCAAGGCAGGCCCTTGTGCTTGCGAGGTAGGTGGTGGAACCACTGAGCCAAACCCCCAGCCCTTTTCGGTGTATTTTGATTTGCATTTCTCTGATGGCCAAAGATGCTGAACATATTTTTTCATGTACTTATTGGCCATTTTAACTCCCTTTGAAAAGTATCTAGTCATTTCAACTGCCCATTTGGGAGGAGTCTTTTATTTTGAGAAAATTTATTTTTTGAGTTCTTCGTGTATTCTACATATCAATCCTGTATCTGAGGAGTAGCTGGCAAAAAAAAATTTTTTTTTCCAAATCTGTAGGTTATCGATTCACTGTTTCTTTGGCTGTGCAGAAGGTTTTTAATTTGATGTGATTCCATTTGTTGATTCTTGGTGTTATTTCTTAGGCAGTTGGCATTCTGCTCAGAAAGTCCTTGCTTATGCTTATGCAACAGTTTACCTATTTTATCTCCCAGCACACTCAGTGTTTTTGTTTTAATTTCTAGGTCTTTTATCCAGTTTGATTTTATTTTGGAACATGGTGAAAGACAGGAGTCTAGATTCTTCAGGAAGATAGTTTTCCCAGCTCCATTTTCTCAAAGAGGCTGTCCTTTCTCCAGCATACGGTTTTGCTCCCTTTGTCAAAGATCAGATGGCTGAATGTGCCTGGGCAGTTTCTGCATTTTCAGTTCTGTGCCACATGTCTCTTTCTGTGCAATACTGTTTTTATCGCTGTAGCTTTGTAATATATCTTAAAGTCCGGGATTATGCACAGCTTGATGAGTCCCATGGCAGAAGTGAGAAGAGAGTGGGACAGTGTACACAGAAAGAATGAGGTGATAGGCTTTATGGGAGAACCTGAGGGAAGGTGTGGCCAAGAAGAGGCGATGTTTGAGGTGGATCTTAAGGATGGAGATGAGGAGAGGAGCCACCGTTAAATACTAGCCATAACTGGGGCAGGGAGCAAGTGGCTCAACCAAGGGGCAAACCAAAGATTTGGGGGAGAGACTGTGGGATAGAGCAGGACCTGGTGACCCACATGGGGGCCAACAACAGAAAGCAAGTGCCCTGCAAGGGCCAGAGACAGGAGGGCCCCAGAGCAGGGGAGAGCCAGGGCTAGGCAGAAGCTCAGGCAGGGCCTCCTGCTTCAGGGTGAGATGCTGCTCACCCGGGTCCTGCAGATCATGAGCCTCAGTCCCTTTCCCCTTACTCTGCTCAACTCCCCAAGAGCAGGACACAGCAGGATACAAGAGGGCATGGGAGCCAGACCCCGCTGCCTCCAGCCAAAAGTGAGGGGACTGGGTGTGTGGCGCAGAAGGAAAAGATGCGGCACACATTTTCTAGCCTGTCCCAAGAACTTTACAATATGTCACCCATTTAATCCCCACAACAGCCCAAGGAGGCTGCGGAGAGTGGAAAAACATGCGTCATTTAATTTGGTCTGATTCTCTCTCCCTGTTGGGCTAGATGCACCCATAAAGTTGAATTTGCATGAGTTGAATGTTGTGTGGTCCCCGTGCTGCTGTCCTAGAGGGCTGATCCCCATGGGGGAATCCAGCAGATGTAACCAAAGGGGCCCCAAAGCTAAACCAGATTTTGCCTATAGTGCCCCCAAGCAAAAGGCTCCAACCTGGCAACAGTAGAGATGCCCCTTCCACCTGCACAGACCCACAGCACAGAGCCAGCTGAGCATGAGCCAAACAAAGAGGCCAGTGCTGCATGGAAATGGGGGAGGTGGTTTGATAGAGGACCCCCAACGCTTATTTGTAAATGGTGAGCTCCCTTAGAGATCCTGTGCCCTACATCAGGAAGGACTCGAAAAGAACGGAAACATTCTAAATCTAGTTGGAACAGGAAGACTAGTGATGTGCACATAGTAGGTACTCAATGAATGTGTATTGGGCAACTGCACACGGAAGAGCTGTGTACCGTGAGTGGATACCATGTGGTGTGGGTTGAAGCCAGCAGGTATAGGTTGGGGTCTCAGCTCTGCCACCCCTCTGAGCCTCTGTTTATCTGTGAAATGGGGATGGCGAGGTCCACTTGTTCAGGTTGTTGGGAGATTAGAGATAATACCTGGAAAGTTCCTCAGACTTGGCAGGTACGGCTCAGATGAACAAGCAGCCAGACAAGAGGGGCTGAGGGCTGGAAGCCAGGTGAGGAAGATGGTGGCCCAGACTGGACCAGGAGGGTGGACAGAAGGCTCTAGACTTGAGTGAGTGGAGTTCTTTCATCTTTCAGAGATACATTAAGCACCATGTGACTGCAGCAGTGCTGGGTATCACAAAGAAGCAAAGATCATGACGGGGAGAAGGAAGAAATGAGTGTCAAAGACCTACGTGTGCCGGGTGCTTTCTGTGTCCCTGAGGGTGGTGCAGCATGCACCACAGCAGAGCCTCCCAAGCTGATCCCGGGAGTGGTGTTAGATGAATTCCAGGGAGAGAGGATACTGTACATGTGTGTTTTTAAACACCTAAAAATTGAATAGTGATGGCATTGTTACTCCATGTTCAAGCTTCCAGAGGACTTCTATCTTTTGGTTTTTCTCTTTTGGTACCTTTCAAAGCCCTCAGAGCCAGGTGTGAGTGTGTTTTCGGAGAACAAAGCAGGGCTGTGTCCTCCGAGTCTCCATTTGTGGGTGGGGAACGGTCCCTCTATTTTCCAGATCTCGGGACTCCTATTGACTTAACACTTAGATTCGTATGTAATTCAAAGAGCAGTCCTCATAAACCAGATCTGCTTTGCTAGCTGTTTGGTATGCAAGTGATTTTTCAACTGGACAGTTGGATATGGAGGCGGAGGGGACATTCAGAGTGAGGCCTCGTGGATACACTGTGCCCGGGGAGGGTATTTTCCAGCCGCTGTCCCAGCTGGACTGTGGTGGAGGTGACCCTGCAGAAGAGACAAGCTCAGACTGACAGGGCTTTGAGTGACCTCACTGGTGAGAGCCATGGGGTGAGGAGCTGTGCCTTGCAGGCTGCCTCAGAAGGAGACTGGTGAGGTACAACTTCTAGAAGGGGGCTGTGGTCAGGGTTTGAGGGAGGCTCCCCGGGAGCAGGAACAGAGGCCGTCTCCAGGCGACCTGTGCTGGGCCCAGGGTTGGCGGAGAAACAGAATCCCTTCATCCTACAGTTGTCAGTTTCTTTTGTCTCCCGCCTTGCTTTTCCACCCCTCTAAGGCGAGTCCCTCCCTATGTAAGCCTCATGCAGCCGGCGGCAAGGTGTGTCCCTGAAGAGGGATGAGAGGGGACTTCAGTTCTGCAGCTTCAGCCCACCGAAGTTTCCCTCCCTGTCTCTTTCTCCTGCCACCGCCCATGGCTAGAATTAGAGCACTGAAATCTCACTCCATCCACAGCCGGTAGCATTTTTGGGCTCCTCCTAGATAGTAAGCACTGGGGATTCAAAGCTTCATTTAACAGCTGCTCTGTCCTCATGCTCATTATGGGCCATACAGAAGAGAGAAATGAGTATTAAAAGCAAAGGGTAGGGGCTGGAGATTTAGTTCAGTGGTGACATCACCTATGCAAGGACCCAAGTTCGATCTCCAGTACCAAAAAAAAAAAAAATAAATAAAAAGGCAAAGGGTAGGAAATCTAGACCCTGGGGTCTTGGGAGTTATTTCCCCCTGGGAGGCCTAAGTCACATTAGATGGATGCAATGCAAGAGCAAGAACACAGGCTTTGGGGCCCATCCTAGTCCTGCTTATTAGCTGTGGGGCCTTGGGTGGGATGGCAAGCTCACTGATCCTTAAACAAGATAGAGTGACAATAGGAGCTTCACAGGGCTGGTGTGTGGACAAATGGATTAGAGCCTAGGAAAAGCTCTTGGTGCCACTATAGGGGCCCTGTGAAGGCCATTTCCCGCCCCTCTTTTCCTGTGGCTCCTCCACCTGAAATGTATTGGCACACTGGGAGGAGGGGAGCATAGCTATTCACTGAGCTCTTCGTATGTGCGAGGCATGAGGAATTCAGAACAAAACAGACCTCATACTTCCTGTCTTGGGGTTTTCCATCCAGCAAAGGAGACAGATAAAACAATTCCAAAGACCATAAGCTGCAATTACAAACTATAATTGATACACCTGTAACCTCTGTAAGTGGGGAATGGGTTCTGTTTGGGTAGGCAGGCAGGGAGAGCCTCTCTGGGAAAGAGGCTAAGGACACAGGGAACTGGGACTGGAGGGTCAGCATATGCCAAGGTCCTGGGGCTGGAGAGAGTCTGGCTGTGAGATCTACAGGAAGGAGGCCTGCAAGCCAGGAGAATGGCAGGAGAGGAGGCAAGGCTCTTGTAAATCAAGGTAAAGGATTTGGATTTGGATCTAGCTTAAAGGGCAACAAGAAGCTATTGATCAAGCAAGTGACATGATGAGGTTTACCAGGATATTTCTGGCTCCTGGCCCTTGGGGAGCTCTGATTTGTATGTGCTTAGCTCCTCTCCCATGGCCCAGTGTTGGCTCTGCAGGCCGCTCTGTGAGAGGACCTTACACTCTCCCACAGGCTGGGGTATAGTGGGCAGAGAGAGTCCAGGCTAGGTCCTCATGGAGACCAGTTCTGGAGGAACCCACTTGTGTGGTACGGCAGGCCAGAGCCCAGCCTGCACTCCCACCATCACCCCATCTTCTGGCTCTCTGGGAGGCCCCTGGGTGAGAGAGGGAGGGAGTATGGGTTCCCTGATTGGAGCAGCCTGGATGAGGGGCTTCTGGTAGCTGCCTATGCCCCCACCATGAGTCAATGGCAGGCAGCCTCCTAGGTGTGTCTTCATGAAATAATCAGTGTGATTTTGGGGAAAAAACGTTCTGCCAGATCCAAACTAGAAAGTTCTGCATTAGGGAATGCAGAAATCCCAGGGGCTGGACCCCACAGGCCCTTTCTGTGTTGGAGCAGACAGACTGCCCTGATCTTCCAGCACCCTTGAGATGCCCACAGAGGCCGGGGGAACTTGCAACTTCTGCCTACTGCTGTGAAGGGCCAGGGCAGGATGGTGCTGTGGGGCCTGGAGGCTGGAGGAAGGAGGGTCCTGTGACCCCTTCAGCTTGTACCTTGCCCTGTTACTTAGTCTTGAGCCGAGCAGAGAACCAAGGGAAAAGGCAGAGAGATTCACTGTGAGCTATCCCAAAGAGTAGAATTTGGGACTCCTGTCTCATCAGCTCCCCTGGGAATGAGAGGCTAATGAATCAGCCCCTGAACTTAACCTTGGAGACTCAGCCACTGCCGTCAGCAAACTTGAAATGATGTAACCTGACCTTCGGCATGGGGGGTGGTGATATACAGGGACCTGGGAAGAGGAAGCAGTGGCCAGGAGGCTGAGTAGTGGACAGAACTCAGGTCCAACCCAGCCTAGGCCAGGAAGGCACGAGGCGGAGTCCCCCTGACATAGATGTCACAGAAGAATTCAGGGGCAGAGTGCTTGCGGCGGGGAGGATGTGCTATCTGAGCGAGTGGCCCAAGTCCTTTCTGAAAGCATTTATCCGGCACTATAGCCACCGTCAGGTAAGACACGGTTGATGTAGGCATGGGGTGGGCAGCAGGGATGTCACATGGGCGTACGCATATGTGTGTACCTCCCTGCGTGTGTGTGCACCTATCACCCACCTGGGGGTGAGGCTCAGCCCCGCCACGCCTAGATGTGCAGAGGTGCATCTCTGCCACCCTGAGGTGTCCTGTGCGGGTCTGGTATGGGTCTGGTATGGCCCCTTGCTTCCCTCCTGTCCTCACACCCTCAGCCAGAGGAGCTGTGGGGCAGCTCTATTGGGTGGCAGCCTCACTTCTCTGAGCCTGCTGTGGGCCACCGGAGCCACATATAGAAATCCTGCCCTTGGCTTTTCCAGGTGGATTTCCTGATTGAAAACGACGCAGAGAAGGACTACCTCTACGATGTGCTGCGGATGTACCACCAGTAGGTGCACTGGGTCCAGCTCCCACAGGGGGCTTCCAGGACCCATGGCTCAGGTTGCTGTGAGACAGGGCGCGTAGGGAAGCAGATGCTCCTGGGACTCAGGTGCAGACACCGTACATTCATTCAGCAGTGGACGACACGTACTGTGTACTCGACCCTGTGCTAGGCAGAAGGGGTAGTGTGTGAGCAACGGACTAGGCCCAGCCTTCAGGCTGCTCACCACCCACTGGGAGGCTGTCGAGGAGCCAGACAAGTGCACTAGAGCACGATTGTAGGCACAGAATGAGAAATGCCGGCTGGCCCCAGCTGCTACAGCACACGTTTCTGGTCACGCACTTGCTCTTTGATTCTTTCAACATGCGTTTCTTGCTGGGCACCATGCAGGATCTGCAATGAGTAGATCCACTTCCTCTCCTTGAGTTACTCATGGCCTGATGGAGGGAGATGGACAGACTCTATAAACACCACGAACCCTAATATAATTGGTTACGGCTGCTAAGTGGAGGTAAAAGCAGGAGTGTGCCGGAAGGGGTTTTCACTTCTATCCCTGGGTGTGGGGAGGTACAGGAAGGCTCGAGCTGGGCTGTCAGCTGCAGGGCTGTGGGTGGAATATCGGGGAAGGGCTCAGCATGAGCAAAGGTGCAGAGGCGTCCACGCGGGCGTAGGGTGTGAGTGGGGAAGAAGAGGCAATGAGCTTGGGGTAGGACTTGGGACGTACAGAAGTATACATGACCACAAGGCAGCAGAAGTCCACAGAGACAATGGTGGAGGGCCTGAACCTACCCAAAATGATGGATTTTTCCCTCTGGGATGTAGGGAGCTATCAAAGGGTTTTGAGAAGAGAAATAAAGTGCAGGTAACAAAGGTTAGATGAGGATGGGCGATTTGGAGGGTCTGAACGGTGTGAAGGTGTGTGAGAGACATAGAGCAAGGTTTCTGGAGCACAGCAGCAGACTGGACTGCAAGATGAGAGTATGAAAGAGGACGTCAGTGCCTTCCACACAGGCTTCCTGTCTGGAAAGGCTCTGGACTTCAGATCTAGGCGCAGTGAGTTTGGTGTCACCTGCAAAATGGGTTCAGCATCCCAGCTCACTGGTTTCCTTCTGATTTTTGCCTGAGAGAACAAAGCTTTTCCAAGGCTTCAAGTTCCAGGCGCTGAGATTTTCAGGATCATTCTCCTTAATTTCTGGGCCTGGGCCCCCGGGGTGAGGATCCAGGCAGGTACAGAGGTTGTGTCCAGGGCTACGGCTCCAGGCATCTCCCGCGTCTCTGCAGAACCATGGACGTGGCTGTGCTTGTGGGAGACCTGAAGCTGGTCATCAATGAGCCCAGCCGCCTGCCGTTGTTTGATGCCATCCGACCCCTGATCCCACTGAAGCACCAGGTGGAATATGATCAGCTGACCCCGCGGCGCTCCAGGTACCCAGGGAGCCGTCAGACTAGAGGCAGGGGCGGAGAGGACAGAGTTCCTCACTCACAGGCAGGACAGCGCTGGCCATTGGGCCTGTGCCGGGCCCTCACTGACCACCCACACCGTGGCAGGAAGCTGAAGGAGGTGCGTCTGGACCGTCTGCACCCCGAAGGCCTCGGGCTCAGTGTGCGTGGTGGCTTGGAGTTCGGCTGTGGGCTCTTCATCTCCCACCTCATCAAAGGCGGCCAGGCAGACAGCGTTGGGCTCCAGGTGAGTGAGTGGGGCCCGGGGGATGGGGGACTTAGGCCCCAGACTTCCTGCCTCCTGCTCAACCATGGTCACCAGCCTTTGGAAGCTGAAGAGGCTGCTATATCCTCACCAGCATTCATAGGCCCATTGAAACCAGGCTGCAGGCAGTTTTCCTTCCTCTTCCCCCCCCGCACTTTCTCTCCCTCCCTTCCCTCCTCCCTCTCTCTCTCACCGAGGAGTAAACCCAGGGCCTTCACACTAAGCTACATCTCCATCCCCCGCCCCCCTTTTGAGACAGGTTCTCAGTGTGCAGTTCAGCCTAGAACTCAGTATGTAGCATAGGCTGGCAATCCTCCTGCCTCAGTCTCCTGAGTGCTGGGATTTTAAGTGTGTACCGCCACACCCAACTATTTTTTATCTGGAGACAGGTCCTCACTAAATTGGTCAGGCTCAGCTCGAATCTGCTATTCTCTTGAACTTGCCTCAAACTCCCAGAGTGCTGAGCTTACAGGTGTGCACCACTGTGGTCAACTGCTGCCTCCCCCTAACACCTGAAGGAGGAACATGGTGATGCCCAGACACCAGAGACTTGGTACCAGTGACCTGTGTGAGCAGCAGGGAGAAAGAAAGCCCAATGTGATGCTTGAGGACACAGACCCCGAGCTGGACTATCCAGCTCAAACCCCGGCTTCACTGTTTATCGAGCCGTGTAACGGGGGAAATGACCTAACCCCAGGCCTCTATTTCTTCACCTTTAAAATGGGATGATGGTGAAACTATCTCCCTCGTTGGGTTGCATGAGAAACAGATGAATTAATATTGGACAGTGCTTAAAATGTCTGATTCATAAATGCTACGTTTGACAGCACGCAGAGAGCAGGAGAGATTTAGTGAACACTTAGAATGCACCAGGTAACGTCCACACAGCATCTTCATCTTACAGTTAATAGCGACTCAGAGGCCCAGCAGTGGCCCAGGCAGGGTTAGAGCCTGCGTCCCCTGCTGAGCCAGGGATCTCAGGTGCCAGTCCCCTGGGACTCCTACACTGCTGTGTCTGAGCACAGGGGTCTGACCTCCAGGTCACATCCTCCTGGAGCCTAGCGTTGTGTTGTCTGTCCTGATAAAGGAGCCTCCCACTGCCTCCAGAGCACCAGGGCGTTTGCTATCAACCTCCCAATCTGGCTGCCGAGCCAGGGGTTTTGCTGGGGCCCAAGTGCTAATGGTAGGAGACCCAGAGAGGGCTGAGGTGGAAACAGGGAGCTGACAGACATCGCTTTGTTCTGAATCCCTGTCTCACGGCTCACTTTGCTCATGCGTCTGAAATTTCAGCCTCTTCATTATTTCTTTCCTCTGTGACACATTTTCCAGCCCAGAAACTCAGCTAGAGACAAAAACATAATGAGCTCCTCTCTTGGCATCGGCTGAGGCCCGCTTTTGTGGGCTAGCTCTCCTCCTAGGACGAGTGTTTCTCAGCCGGCCCTGATGATTGGGGCCATGCGGATGTTTTAATGGAAATTACAATTTTATCCTCTCAGCTCTTTCTCAGGCTTATGAATCATGGACCCTTTCTTGGGCTATTGGGCTCATCTCTCCTTTGTCCCGCTGTCCTTCAGATCATCTTATCATTGTGTCCCCACACAAAGACCCTTTTGCAGAGTTCTATACCCAGTGAGAGGGAGAGGGAAGTTGATCTTGCAACCCAAGCTGGGGACAGTGTGGGAACCATCAGGCCTGAAGTCCTGGGCTAGTTCCCTTTAGGAACAAGGCAGGGAACTTCACTCAGAGGAGCTTGGGGGAAAGGCCTGCATCCACTGACTGGCCTGAGTTCATATTTCTTGGGAGAGCTCGTGCCTGAAGAGAGTTTAGAGAACGTTCTGGAAGGTAGGGGAGGGGCAGGTTCAGACACAGCCTGGCTGGAGATTGTGTGGTGATTTTCCCTGTCAGGCTTGGTCCCCTGTAAGGGCTGGGACCCTACAGTAGGACCTAGGCCTTGGGCTCCATCCTGCTGTTCCTGCCTTTTTCAAGTTTATTCTGTCTTTACCCATGCCCTCTTCCCTGCACAGGGCAGCCTGTGCTATATACAACTTGTTGTGTGTTCTAGGGCTAGGAGATGACTTTGCGTGCCTTGGCTGTCCCAGCTGTAAAATGGACAGAGTAATTCCTGCCTTCCAATGGTACTTGAGGGCTCTGACAGGTGGCAGAAATCCAGAGAGGGCAAGATGCAGGGAATTGCAGCCAGGCCTGGCCACGTGCCCTTCTTTTCTGTTTCCAGAAACCCAAGGCAAGGATTGATGTCTGTCAGGGAGACAAAAGTCCAATCCCAGCAACCCTGTTTGCTTACTGGGTGCCCTTGAGCAAGGCATTTCACTCTCTGAGCCTCTACTTCATCATCTGATTGAAAGACACAAATTCCAGGGTTGTGAAAAACAGGGTTAAGGAGCTGGCTGGTCCAGTGTCCCCAGAATCCAGTGTCCCTAGAATCTCGGAGCCTCCATGTTTTGTGCCTTTTCAATCACTCACCACTCCTGTCAGAGCCCTGAGAAAATAGGGATCTGTGTCCTGGAGTCACTGTGGCAACAGTGACAGGTGACTCTGCAGGAACATTGTAGATTAAGAGCTTCAAGGGCCCCAAGTGCCTGGGGGAGGCAGCAGCAGTGTCCAGCAGGGGGCACTGTAACTAGAGTGGGGCACAAGCCCCCATTTCCCTGTATCCTTTGGCCTAAACTTTAAAAAGGATCTGAGTAGAGTGTTAGGTCTTGGACCTAAGATAACAACAGGACCACTTACTGAGTGCTTGCTCTGTGCCAGGTACAAGTGGCTTTACCTGCATGAGTTCACTTAATTCTCCCAGCATCCACAGTATTCCATGTTTTATAGATGAGGGAAACAGAGGTCACATAGTTAATAAGAATAATAGCAGAAGTTTGAACCCAGGACAGCAGATACCAAAGCCTCAGGCTCAGTCACTGTTCTCTGCTTGCTCCCAGAATAGAAATTCAGAGGTCAGGGCCACAGCAGAGCTAAAATGTTCATGAAGTTTCCATAGAATGGAAAAAAAAAAAAGGGATCCTGTTGGTGATGTGAGCTTGGTCGGGAGTCATAGGTGTCCCCGCTGGACTCAGTTACAGTGTTGTGATGACTAACAGAGAAGGGAAGCCTGCTTCTCAGGGGCACAGGGGACAAAGGCCAGGCAGGGCTCCTCTATGCTAGGTTCCAGAGGGTCACCCTTTGTGCGGACTCTAGAACCTGATGGTGTCCCAGTGGAGTGAAAGGGGCACCACAGTAGGGGACAGAGTCCTGAGTCCTAATCCTGGCTCTGCCACCACCCACTGTGCCTCTCATCCCCTGCCGTGGTTACTCCGTCTCTTACGGATGGAGAAGGAATACTTGAAAATGCCACCTGCCCTGGGGTCCCGCAGGCTGATGGAGGGTGGGTTGGTTGTGACAGGGCACCAGGCACATATCAAGGTCTACTCTGAGGGTCAGTGTGCCTGTTGGTCCCTTCTCTGGAGAGCAGGCCACAGACATCTGGTGTCCCCCTGCCCAACCCCCTGAACCTGATGCTCATTCCTATCTGTGGCCAAGGTAGGGGATGAGATCGTCCGGATCAATGGATATTCCATCTCCTCCTGCACCCACGAGGAGGTCATCAACCTCATCCGCACCAGGAAGACTGTGTCCATCAAAGTGAGATGTGAGTGAGGCCGGGTGGGAGGGTAAGGGTGGGCTGGGTGGGCAGTGGGGTTTCCGGCTCCTGGGGGAAAGCGAGGGCAGGGGCCATCCTAACCCCGTGTCTTTCTTCCACAGACATTGGCCTGATCCCTGTGAAGAGGTGAGCAGCACTCCTGTGGCAATCTTTTCCTGGTGGCCCAGCGTCCTGGTAGCAGCTTTGGGCTCTGGTTTTCCCCGATCCTGGACCAGTGAGGGAAGAGGATCCAAATGTGGCAGATCTGGACAGGAGGTCTGGCCCCTCAATCACTTTTCACTAACCACCACCCCTTTTTCTTTTCCTCTCCCCCAGCTCTCCCGATGAGCCCCTCAAATGGCAGTACGTGGATCAGTTTGTGTTGGAATCAGGGGTAAGGGCCACAGCCACCTGTGATGGGGCTTAGGTGGGGTGGTCTTCCTACAGGGGTCTTAAAGGAGAGATTGCTCCAGAAAGGACACCCAGAAAGCTCCTGTGGGGTGATGTGTCCTCAGCTGGCCCAGCTGTTACAAACCCACACTCTGAGGGACAGAGTGGCCATCTGGATTGTGTGAACTCAGCAATGCCTGTTCTGAAGATCTTATAAGATCAAGATATCACTTGCATGCCTGTGGACACCCAGTGACCCTGCTTTTGTTCCTCTCTAGGGTGGACGGGGCAGCCTGGGCTCCCCCGGGAATCAGGCAAGCAAGGAGAAGAAGGTCTTCATCAGCCTGGTGGGCTCCCGGGGCCTTGGCTGCAGGTGCGTGGCAGGCACACCCTGGGACTCTGTCGTGGCTGTAGACACCAACAGGTCCTGACTCCTCTCCTCTTCCTCACTGCTGCTCCTGAGGACCTTTGTCAACTACTAGATCTGTCTTCTTGATGACCCTTATTGGTACCTGATTTCCCCTCTGAATTTCACAATTGCTCAACAGGCCTAGAGGGGCAGCTCTAACAGGTTCCACTTTGTAAATGTGGAAATTGAGTCCCAGAGGAAGAGAAACTTTCCTTGCAAGGGCGCTGGAGTCACTGCAAAAAGATCCTGTCCAGCTGTTCATCTGTGTCACAGTTCCCTTGTCACTGATTACCTTGTGGGCTTCCTTCAGAGGTAGCCAGGCCTTGGGCCACACCAGAAGCCCTTGTTAGCATGCTGCAGCCACTCACTTGTCCTTGCAGCCTTCCTCTGCCACCTACGAGCTATGTGAATCTCAAGGATCAGCTACTTAACCACCTCAGTTTCCCCCTCTATAAATCGAGGATAATGATATCCACATCACAGGATTATTATGAAGGATTTATAAGTGATTTAAAAAGCCTTCCTCTTTAAGGAGATGACAGCCCTAATTCAGAACCCAAGCACATAAATTATTATAATACAGGGTGACAAGGACTCTGAAGCAGGTATAGGCTGGGTCAGGGCTGGCAAATGGGTTTCCTGTCTGTGACATCTCTAATCACTCAGTAGGTGACCACCTGGAACACTGTTCTGCAAAGGAGTCTAAGGCTGTGTCCAGCTGGTGGGGAAAAGTGCCGTGATCGATTAGTGATGTCTGCCACAGATTTCAGTGGGGAGAACAGTGCCAAGCACCATCCTTGCTGTAGAGTTTTAGGAGCACTGAGTAGCTGAGTCTTGGGACAGAACAAGGGATCTTGTGCAAATGTGACAGGGAATACAGCATTTGAGACATAAGGGATGGTTCCGGAAAGAGAAGTAGCAGCACTGGTGGTATATTGGGTGAGGGGTTGCATAGGGGGATTGCTGGCTGTTTCTTGTGGCTGTTGCCCAGGGTGCCGTGGAAAGCAGGCCGGGAATGAGACAGGAGCTGAGGGCCTTGGGTCCTGAGCTTGTGGGTGTCACCCGAGCAGAGGGTGACAGATGTAACACTGAGGATGAGCAGAGGGCAGAGCCTCCCCCACTTTTCCCACCTCCCGCAGCATTTCCAGTGGCCCCATCCAGAAACCCGGCATCTTCATCAGCCAGGTGAAGCCCGGCTCGCTGTCTTCGGAGGTGGGGCTGGAGGTGAGTGGCTCTGGGCCGGCCCTGGGGGCACTGGGGTTGGGCTGTGACCCCACACAGAGGCGGCCCTGCCTTTTACACAGCGCACTCCTGGCCATCACTGGCTGATGATTCCTCCCCATGGCCCAGTGGATGCTCACAAGAGGGGTGACATTTGATTTCCCTACAGTTTTCTCCAGCTCTGAAGGCCAATGGTTCCGAGATAGGGAATGCAGTGATAATAATCAGACTTGACATTCTGTGTTTACTTGCAAAGGTGTTTTTCTAAGCCTTTTAGACTTTACAAGAACTCTGAGGATTAGGCACTGACATTATACCCATTTTTCAGGTGAGGAAACTGAGACACAGAGAAAGTATGTGATTTTTTTCAAGATTATGTCCCTAGTACAGTAGGGCTGAGCTTTACACCTAGGTGGTCTGATACCAGAGCTGAAACTCAACTCCCCTTTTAGACAAGTTACTTCATGCCTCTGTGTTTACTTCTGCCCACCCCTAAAATGGGAATCTTCCTTCTAAGGATTTTGTGTGGATTAAATTAATTTATACATGTGCCAGAATTGTGCCGGGCATAAGTAAGCAATTAATGGATGTTAGCTATTATGACTGTTATTGCGATGATAATCCAACATAGCCTGTGCTGTGTGGATGAGAAGCCCAAGGGTTCTTGTGTCCATTAACTGAGATTTATAGTGCAAATATCCTAATTCAGCCAAATAATTAACCTCCGATGATGTAGTATTTGATAGCCCATAACATAGTTACGGGGTGGAGGTTGCAAGGTTGAGCTTGAGATGCTCTGAGGGCCCCAACTGCTCCACTTCTTGGGAAGGTCCAACATCTAACCCTGGCACCCAAGGGAGCCATTCGGCAGATAAGGAAGCGAAGGATGACAAAAACGCATTAACCCTCCTCCATTTCTCCACCAGACGGGGGACCAGATTGTGGAAGTCAATGGCATTGATTTCTCCAGCCTGGACCACAAGGAGGTGAGGTGTGCTGCCCTTGTTGCCTCTCCATCCTACCTCTCACTCACTCCCGCCGAGTCTAAGACCCCCTGCTCTCTGCCTGGCTGCCCCGGCCTGTCTGTCAGGACGCAGCTGACTGCACCCCTGTCCTCGCAGGCCGTGAACGTGCTGAAGAGCAGCCGCAGCCTGACCATCTCCATTGTAGCTGGAGCTGTAAGTTCAGGGTGATGTGTTGAGGACCACATGACCCCTGGCTTCCCGCCCCGGCCCCTCCGACCCCTGATCTCTGCCACGCACATCTGGGCAGGGCCGAGGGGCGTTCGTTCTTCCTTGAAGCTCCGACAGCAGCGCGAAAGAGCTTCTCCCCAGTGAGAAGTTTGGTTCCGGGGCCGATGGGGACTCAGAGCCTGATCCTGGGGTGCGCAGCATGAAGAAGACAACCACGTCTTTGGCTCCCAGGGCTGTGACAGTGGACGCCCAGGTTCCTCAGGGGACTGAGCCTCTTTTCTCCCCACGAGGGCCGGGAGCTGTTCATGACAGATCGGGAGCGGCTGGCGGAGGTGCGGCAGCGTGAGCTACAGAGACAGGAGCTGCTGATGCAGAAGCGGCTGGCCATGGAGTCCAACAAGATCCTCCAGGAGCAGCAGGAGATGGAGCAGCAGTGAGTGGCAGGCGGGGGCCCCACCCAC